TGTCAAATAAATAAATAAAATCTTAAAAAAAAAAAAAGTTTAAAAAAATAAAAATAAATGTCTAAAGAAAAAAATTACTTGTCAACCCTCTCCACTTCCTGAGGTAGCCAAATATGTCCTTATTTTTCCTACTTAAATAAACATAAACATATACTAGGAGCATTACAAATTTTTTGCTGAAAATATATATTGAAAGCATTCCTCAAGGTATGACTTGAGCTTATCCTTTTTCAGAACTGCATAATATTTTATAGTATGGGTTTTTAATAAATTGTTCATTCATTCCAATTTAGCTGAATATTTACTGAATGTAATATTTCAAAAGTTATTTCATTACATTCAGGATTTCATGGCAGTCTCAAGGTAGAAACTGGAAAGAAAAACAGAAACTCTAGAAGGATATAGGATTTAAAACGGAGCAAGTGATGTGAAGTCTGAAACAGAGGGAGAGATTAGAACTAGCTGAAATTTTAGCAGATATAGGAAGAAAACAAAAGGTTTATGGGAGAAGATTAAAAGAAAAGAATATGAAGATGAGAAAACTTACAACATAGGAAAGCTGTGATTTGATTCACTGTTAAGCTACTCTTTGTCTTGTTGAGGAGTGTGCTAAGATTGCCTTCCTCACCCCACAGTCATGTATCTTGTCCATCCATCCATCAAGCAGACATTACCAAGCACCTGTTTGTGGCCACATGAAGTGGAGAATCTAAAGAAGAACAAAACACAGTTCTTGACTTATGTTTACTCTAGTTTGGGGAGTTGTAATGAAACCCCAAAGTGATACAGGATGTAGGAATCTATCTCCTTTACCACTAAAACCACATTCCTGTCAAAGGTCCAGCCTGGACACTGTTTTGTGGTAGGGGAGAAAGCTTTTTACTGGTCACTTCCTGAGAACAGTTTGATCAGGGACACCTTCTCCTTAGGCACCCAGAGAATAGGGGCCAGTGCAGTGATGGGTGAAGGGTGAGGAAACAGCAGAATGTACAGATGCCACACAAATCTTTCAGGCCTTTGGGACCAGCCATAAAAGGGAACAAGCTGGTTTTTGGCCCAGCTTCTAAATTTGAGCTCACCAAGCTAGATGAGCAGACATGGATTCAAGGCGGGACCATATAGTCAGGTTATGGCTCAAAAGTCAAGTGTTATATCCTGCTCTTACTGACTAAAATGAGATAGGACTAGGGACAAAGTTCAAGAATCCCCCACACAGGGAAAAATCATATTTATGGCTGTGTCACTACCAGCTATTTGAGCAAGGATATTTTATCTGTTTTAGTTCATTAAATTTATCAATTTTTATCACAAAATAATATATATTTCTACCGAAATGTTAACGAGGTGTATGAAGAAAACATACTTAAAAGTAATCTGTTAACTGTCTGAAGTAACTGATTCTAATTGTTTGATGTATGTTTTCCATATAATTTGTGTTTATATAAGCATATATAAATATTTAAAAAGTTTTTCCTACAAAAATGCAAGCTCTATTTTTAATACCATGTTAAACGTTCATTAAAAATATTAATATAGATACAGCCTAACTCCTGGCACATATATGTATATTTAACTCTTCCTTGTAAATAGTTATGTATCGTTTTATATACAAATCTATATTTATCAATCCGTCCCTTGGTAAAGTCTTACGGATTTGTTTTTTAACCAATCGCCCTGTCGCACTCGGAGCCGTGCCGGGACTCCGTCCAGGATTTGGGGCTGCATCGTCTCAACACAAAGCAGGGCCTCTGAGGTCTGGGGGCGGCCAGCCAGGCTCCGCCCCCCCGCCGCAGCCGCCAATCAGCTCCCGGGTGGTACCCCCCCTCGCCCTCTGCACTGCAGGCCATCTCCCCGCTGCACGCCTCCCGCCGCCACCTCCGCCAATTACCGAATCTGCAGGCTGACTGCCCTGTCTCCTTGTCACGTCTCTGCAGATCAGTCCCTTACCCCTCCGGTTAGCCCGGTGTGAAAATTGCTGGATAACGGGTGAGTATCGTCCAAAGATGGTTCTGGAACCGGAGCAGGCCCCGGCGCACCGACCAAGCTCGCGCGGCTGGGGTGGGAGAAGGAGCGACCCGGCCAGAGTCCGGGGGAGCGCGGGGGAGGGGGCGCCTGCGGGGCTGCGAAGGTAGTCAGGGTCTGGGCCTGAGACCGCTTGGGCCTAAGGAGGCAGATGTCTTCCAAAGGGGACTCCCTGCGATCTCTCCATCTCTGTGTCTGGTTCTGCTTTTTTCTACCACTCTGGCTCTTATTTCTTTCGTGCTTCATTCTTCTCCAGGAATTTCCGCCCTATTACAACACTTCTCATGATGAAATGTTTCGAAGCTGCAGATACGTACAGAAAATAATATAACAGAATTATCAGATGCGGACATTTTATTACCTTTGCTTCAGCGCACTTGCTCTCCCCGCCCCCCACCCCGTGGATGTGGATGTGTGTCTCCCCCCTCCCCCCGTGTGTGTATATGTGTGTGTGTCTCCTCCTTTCTAAGAAACAAAACCTGACAGTTAAAATCTTTTCCCCATGAAATCTCATGTCCATCCTCAGATGTAAGTTAGGGTCTATCCTTCTCACGTATATTTTTGTCCTTTTATTATTTATTTTTATGTAAACAATATGTGCGTTTTTGTTTTGCATTTTAAATTTTTCCATGCAACTCAGTACTTGGGGGCTTTGCCTTGCGGTGCTATTAGTCTTGTCATTTCAGACTGGAAAGGGACTTAGCAAGCAAGTCTCCAGCCCTCCTTGTTTATTAGCTCAGAAACTTGAGCCCTGTCGGGGATAAAGGACGTGCTCACTGTCGCTCAGGTGGTCCTCCACTGGGCAGGATCCTGAATTGAGGTTTTCTTGATTTCTGTTCCTGGCGTTCCTTCTGTGTTTTATGCCACTGAGCTCACCTACCCATATCCCTTATTGGCTATTAATTATATGATTCAATTTGGGGAAAGATTTAAAGAAGAAAGGAAAGAGGAAAAGGAGGTTGAAGGGGACTCGGGAAAGGAAATATGACTTGGATTTGGACCAAAACTCTAGTCGGTATATTAAAAGGTATGCATTTTCCTGGAACATGAAGTATTGAATCTTAGGGCAGCCTGAATATTTATTTTATTTAACAGGCACTGGTACAGTCTTACTGCATGCCAGTCATTGATCTAATAACTTTACAAGTATTCACTCACTTAATTTCAGCCTTACAATAAATCTGTAATATAGGTACTAATTTTATCATTCCTATTGTACAAGTAAAACTGAGGTCAGTCTGTAGATTGTAGCACTGAGATCTGAATCCGGGACATCTGGTGACAGTCTTGAGTTTTTAACTGCATTTCACATGCTAGAACTAGCTCCTGAGGACGGTGAAGTCACTGGACAAAGTAGAACTCACAGTTCACAGAAGGGAGGACAGCTGTCAACTGGTGATCAGAAAAGACTTCAAGAAAGAAATAGGAACTGAAATGTACATAGAAAGGTAGACTCTAGCTACCTATTGTCCGTTTGAAATATAATATATTCATAACTTACAAAAGAAAACATAGATAATGCAAACAATGCAGAGCTATATAAAAGTTGCCCTCCGCTCTTCCTCAGGTCAAACAATATTAACAGGTAGAGATGTAGTCTTCCCTTCTCCCATCATAGTACAAATACGTAAAGGGCTATTTTTTTTAATTATAAAAATGAAAGCACAGCTAACAGTTTTGTACAATTTTTATCCCCCCTCCGCAGTATGTCAAGTACATCCCCCCAACCAAATGGAGATCTAAGACCTTCCTAAGAATTGAATAATATCGCACCGAAGGTGTCCTATCATTTATTCAGCCTTTCCCTTAGTAACGAATAGTCAGAGAAGTTTATGTCTCTAATAGAACGGCCGTCCACTCTGCCAGGATGGGGGCCACCGCAATGCCGAGCCAGCAGGGCCGGCGACACAAAGAAGCGCTGTCCCCTGCCAAGCGCCGCCCCTCGGGCTCGCTCTCGCGCCCGGGAGGAAGTGGGGAGGAGGAGACTCTTCGGGAACCCCTCCTCCCCCCCCTCCATCCCGGCTGCGCCTCCTCCCCGCTACCAGCTCGCTCGCCCGCCCGCCGCGGCGCTGCCTGCAGGGAAGCCCCTTCCCCGCCGCACCGTGCGTCCCCTCTGCACCCAGCCCTGCCGCCGTCCGGCTGCCGCCGCGATCCGGTGAGTGGCCCCCTGCCGAAGCCCCGCAGGCGGGAGAAGGGGCGGCTGGCGAGGAACTCGGCCTGGCTCTGGGGGAGGGCGGTGCCGGAGGCCGAGGGGGCCCGAGGGGGCCCGAGGGGGCGCGGGCGGACCTGCGGAATCTGCGGGACCTGCGGGACCTGCGGGACCTGCGGGACCTGCGGGAGGGGCCCCCGGATCTGGGACAGGTCCCTCGCTGATTGTGTCCTAGCCTCTGTTGCTGATTTTTCTCTGCTCTGGGCTCCGCGTCGCCGCTGCCGCATTGCTGCCCCTCTCCGGGTTCTGACATCTGATGTTTGTGTTTGCGTGCTTTGTGTGGTCGAGATACGCACAGGCCCGACGGGAGAACAGCATCTCCTCCGCAGCTTCGTCGGATGAGAATGCCCCAGACCAGGGACGAGGCAGGGCTTGCCCAGGGTCACACAGGTGGCTGGTGACAGAGCATCACTTCTGTCCTACTGCCCTTTGATCTTTGCAAACACCGGCTCTGGGACTGAGTTCCCTTACCCACTCTCACTAGCCCCCAGGGGACCGGTGTCTGTGTGTGTGGGTGTGGGGGGGGGAGTTTAAGTGCAAGAGGCGCCAGTGGTCTGTGTACCCCTACCTCACGCAAACCGTGCCAACAGTTCTGGAGCATTCCCTGCCAGGCAGAGCTTTTCTGCTCAGCTCCCTTCCTTACCCCTATTGCCCTCTCTCCCGCCCCCCAGCCCCTCTCCATTCCTCCTCGGACGTCACCAACAAGCTCTTCGCGGACTGGCTCTGGGCCTGTGTACAAGTCTGGCTGGGGTGAGGGCCTGGGGAGGAACCGAGAGGATTCCGCACCAGAACTCAGTACGGACAGCCCCTCAAATTTAAGAACGACCTGTGTCCCCCGTTGTCTGTTTCACAGAACGCTGTGCTCTGGGAGGCAGACTGGTCAACACCCCCGGGCTTGTGCTCCCTGTGATGCTGTTCTCTTGGGAGTTTCCTCGTCAGAGAAATGAGCAAATATGAGTGAGAGAAAGAGAGCCCCTGGGGAACTCAGGAATTGAGAAGGGAGTGTAGTAAGATAGGAATAGGGGAATAGAAAAGCAGCATTTTAAATCGTGCTTACTTTTTTGGGAATGGGGGAAGTATTAGAGAGGACAAGAAGGCCTTTAAAAATAATGGTAATGGTCTGTTTTTTAAGCTGGGTAGTAGGTATATAGGAATCTGTTTAATTTTTAAAATTAACGTTCTAATACATGTATTTCATATTCTTTTTAAATATATTAAACCATTTTTCAATGAAAAATAAATAAAATTGATCTGGGAATATGTAGGACAGAATACAAAAGAAGGGTGAACCCACCTCAATTCTAGCTTAGTAGAAGTTGATGGACATTGGACAGGGTATTGGATGTATAAGGAAAAAGAAACAAGGGGTTCATGGAAGAAAATGGCAGGAAGAAGAGAAGACCCATAGGACTGAATGTCTGTGCTATTAATCATTTGTCAAGGCCAGGGGAGCTGTTTGCCGAAGAAGTGATCTCGGTCTGCCCTTGACACCATCCATCACTCCCGTTATCCACCCACGGAGCACCTCTTCATTCTCCTGGAGAATCCAAAGAACCCACATAGCCCTGATCTCAGACACTTACCCTACTTGGATCTGAAATCAAACTATAATGCAGGATATGGTGCAGTATCCAAGACAGGCCTGCTACCCTCCTTCCCTTCCAAATACATCTCTTAAAGGGAAGCCCCATTTAGGTTGCATGGGGCCTCTGTGGTAGGGGTAGGGGACTCGTAAAGCTCTCTGCCTGAGTTACAGGTTGAGCCTGCTTTAGAGGTGCCTGGGGTTCCAGCAAGCTGAAAGAGGGCCGAGTTGGCCCAGAGGAGAGAAAGCAGAAGCCACAGAAGGAGAACCAAGGATGAAGAACTTAGGGAGAGAAATAAAAGGGATTCCCCCACCCTGCCCCCACCCAGCCTGTGTCCCTCTGCAGTCCTCAAGCTAGGAGAGCATAAACAGGCATAAACAGGCAGTTTTCGGTTTAAAAGTCAGGTGTTGGAGTCATGGATATAGCTGGTTAAAGTGGGAACAGAACCAGCTGCAAAATTCAAAGAACCTCATAGAGGAGGGAATCAGATTTTTTTAGTAGGTAAATGCTCAGCCGATTGGGAGATGAAAAAATACATTTTAGGTGAGATATGATCAGGTAAGCAATCCAGTAATATATATACCCAAGCATTTAATGTGTGTTTACTTGCTTGTTTGAAGTTATATTACCTGTGTTACTTTTAACTGTAACGGTAATACATACAATTCAAAGGATGAAGACTTGTATAGGGAGAAGGAATACTGTTCACCTCTTCCCTCCCTAATGCAGTTAATGTTGGCATGTTAAAATGTGACCCCCATAGATTTTTCTCTTGTATAGAAAATCCTGGTCCTTAACCAGGCTTATATATTTCTGGTACTTAAGAATGTGGACTCAGTACAAGATTCCCTGGGTTTGAATCCTGGATCCACCACTCACACTTGTGTGACTTGAGCAAGTAACACATTCTCTGGCCATCACATTTTTTGTTTTGTTTGTTGTTGCCTACCTATAAAATGGATAGTGATCGTACATACCTCACAGGTTTGTTGTCAGGATTAAATACTTTATGAAAGAAACATAATAATGCTTGGAACCTGGAAAGCAGTGTGTTGTGATTACTCCTACTAAAATTACTAGTACTACTGTTATTATCTTCATCCCTACAAAAATGGGTTTGTGTGCTATATATTACAGTGATTTGAGGTTTCCACTTGAAGTATATCTAGGGTTTTCTACATATGCAAAACAGATTTAACTCATTCTTTGTAATAGCGACATGATATTCTATAATATAGATTATCATCCTTTATCCAAACACTCTCCCTCTCAGACGTTGGCTTGCCACACACACAGCGTGGGTATCAGGCTGAGGCTCTATCCCAGTCCCACTCGTGGTGCAGGACAGGGGAAACTGGCCGATCAGAGGGGAGCCTGAGTGTTCCCTACCAAACCCCAGCAGGTAAGAGGAGGCAACTCCACAGGAAAAGCCCTCTTCGTTCTGGTCCCCTACTTTTCAAATCTCCAGGCCACCTGCCCATCCCTTTGTCACTTCTCCACAGACTGTTCTCCGATGAACTAGCTTGAAATACAGCTAGGGAGACAAAAACGTGAGTTCTCTGCTCTGAGTGTTTCTGGAGTACCAGCCCTGGCGGTGACCAGGGCCCAGAGAGAAGGGGTCTGATGGGCAGCTCTTTAGGGGGTGTGCATCCACGGCTGGCTGGGGGCCATGCCCCAGGGTCTTATGTTGTAATACCAGGCTGTGAGGTGGGGTAGCATGCAGAAATGGGATAGGTGTGGCTTTGGGTTAGAGAGCTGCATCCACAGAAGTCATGGATGGTTCTGGAAAACATTCCCTGTCATTTATCTCTCTCCATTTCTAGGTTTGCATTTATCTGTCTCCATTTGTAGTTCTGTATGGCAGTGAGCATCCTTGTACATATTATATCTTTAATACTGCTGCTCTTGTTTCTGTAAGAAAGGTCATCAGAAGAGGGATTGCTGGTCTGAGGATAGGCTCACCTCTGAAACGGAGCTGCCACCGTCAGATTGCTCTCAGCTTCTCAGCCCTTCCAGCACATTGTGGTCATGTCCTCCTAGCCTTTTGGACATTGGGCATTATTATCTGCCTTCATCTTCTTCACCTTCTCCTCCTCCTTTGCCTTCTTCCTTTTTGACAATCTTGTGGGCAACATCATGCATTCTATTTTCAGTTGCCTTGACTAGTGAGATTGAGAGTATTTGCATAGACTACTTGGCCATTTAAATTTCCTCTTCTGTGAATATCTTCTCTTAGAAGGGTAGGATTTCAACAGATAGAAAGAGGTGGGAGAGGGAACAGGAAGGGAAAAGAATGGAAAGAGACTCTAAAATGAAAGCAGGGCATGTCCAGGGATGCCAAGTGTTCTGGAAGCTGCAGAGAGGTTAGGTGGCTAGAAACTGTAAGGAGCAGCCAGCCCTGGAGACCTCAAACCCCAGGATGAAGGTGTCAGATTTAACCATGTGGGAAAAAGCAAAGCTCTGGGAGGGGGTTCTCTTCTGGGAAATAATGCTATCAGTGGCTTTTAGAAGAACAGACCCTGGTGACTCAGAAACTGGGTCAGTTTAGTCGAGGAATGAATTACTGAGCATCTGAACTAGGTTCCTGGCACTATGGTTGGAAACCTTGAACGATGACATTGACAGGACTGTGACCAGCTGGATAGCAGACAGGAGGGAGAAGGGGCACAACTGTGACTCTTTGCGGTTTGCTGTCCTGGCTATTTGTGGACACCAGGAAGAGCAGGGAAAGGACAAGCTCTTGTGAACCAGCTGCCTGCTGATTCTAGCATCTCAAAGATTCTCTGAGGTAAATGTCACCCTCCTTAGCAGCTAGTGACATTGAGCCCATGTAATGTGCCTAAGAGGAGCTAGTTTTGAGGGAAAAGACTAAATTTAAGACTTCTTAATTTTAGGGACCCCTGCAGATGGTAGAGTCTGCTCTTTCAGGAGGATCTTGAGTTTATTCGTTACCTCAGAACCAGGGCCTTTTCATCTGTGCCTGCGGAAGGCACAGTGCCTGTGCCCGGGACTTTCTCAGGGGCCCGTGGAAACACTTGAGAACTAAATGTAATAATAATTAATATTAGTGTTAGCATTGGCTCCAAAATGTGAAAACTATAAAATCAGAATCATTAAATGCTTAGTTCAGTTTTTATAAAATCTGACATTAGGTTTGGTTTTTGTTCACTTTCTAAGAATTCTCTATGGGGCGCCTGGGTAGCTCTTGATTTTGGCCCTAGGTCATGATCTCATGGGTCATGGGATCGAACCCCACATTAGGCTTCACACTCAGCTGGGAGTCTGCTTGAGGATTCTCTCCCTCTACCCCTCCCCCACTCGCTCACTCAGTCTCTCTAAAATAAATAAATCTTTTTAAAAAATAACAATTCTCTCTTATGCACATTTGCAAGTTAAATAGCTTACTCTTAACCAAATAATTATAAGTAAACATACATATAAATAAACACATATACACATATATATAATAAGTAACTGAAAGACATCTAACTTGTTATTTCCTTTAATCCTTGGGACAACCTTATATGCTAGACACTCTTGTCCCTACTTAATGAATGAGGAAGTCAAGTCTGAGATGTGTCGCCCCATCTCACAGTTAGTAAGCAAACAGAGCTAAGATTCAGGTCCAGATAGCCTAACTCCAGGGCCTGAGCTTGTAACTGCTTTGCCATATTACCTTGAGAGTGAGCATATTCTCTGACAAGGGAAACAGAAAGATGTTAAGGACCAAAGATAAAAACATAAGGAACATCTGCATTTTCAGAAGAGGTGAGGGAAGGATAGAAAGTGAACGGGTCAGCAGGTTGAAGATGATGAGGTTGGCTCTGGCCATAACATTACCTGCGGTGAGAGCCTCAGGGACCAGGGGAGCAGCATTGGCTGGTGCCACCGAGTGGGCAGTGAGAATGCCAACCCCTGGATGTCCTGATTATGAAAACACAGCTGCTCTTGGGGCAACTGCTTCAGTAAAGTGTATATAGTGGTCAGACGTCAAGCATCCTAAGCAGGGAGCTCATGGTGAAGAAGCAGAGGGTTTGTGTGAGTACGCATCCACAGACATACACACCTTTCTCCACTGTGTCCAGGTACAAGTAAGAATCTGCCATAGTTCCTGGTTGTCTGGGACCTGGATTCAAGCCACAGAGGACTTATGCTTTCCACTTCCCCAGCCTATGACTGCAACCAAAGAAGCTTCTCTGAGGACCCAGACTTTCCAGACTGAAATTCTGGGATCCCCAAGCTGGGATTAATAAGATCAGTGTGGGAGCTGAGTGGGGCAGGGGGCAGCATGCGGCACCACTGGATTAGTTTTCTGGTGGCTGTTGTACCACATCACCACAAACTGGGTGACCTAAAACAGCAGAAATATGTTCTCTCACAGGCCTGGGGGCATAGAATTTTGAAGTCCAGGTGTTAGCAAGGTGATTCTTTCTGGAAGTTCTGAAGGAAAATCTGTCCTATGCCTCTTCCAGAGCTTCTGGTGCTCACCAGCAACCTCTAGCCTCCCTTGGCGTATAGATGCATCGCTCCAGTTTCTCTTAGCATTCTCCCCTGTGTGTCTGTGTCTGCATCCAGATGTTTCTTAAAAGACACCAGTCATTAAATTAGGGCTCGCTCAAATCCAGCATGACCTCATCTTAACTTGATTGTACTACAAGGACCCTATTTCCAAATAAGGTCACATTCACAGGTACTGGGAGTTAGGACTTACAGATATCTCTTTGGGGGCACTATTCTGCCCACATTCTCCACTTCGAAGGTTTGCTTCCTTCTGCAATGGAAAAGTGTCAAGCTCTTTTGGTTTGGCCACAAGAATTTAGGAGGACCGGGAAGGGTGTGATGGGGTCTCCTGGGTTGGATACCTTGACACCCCTGGTGAGTCCCTGAGTCAATTCAGTCTGTCTCATCTGCGTCGTGGGAAGAACTGTCCCTGCTAGGGGAGGAGTGAACTGTTTGGCTCCTTTATTTATTTGTTTATCTATTCTTCGCCAAACTGAGTCTTTGCTTTCCTCTTTACAGAAGTCAATCCAGCCATGGCGACTCCCTCTGCTGCCTTTGAGGCCCTTATGAATGGAGTGACAAGCTGGGATGTCCCCGAAGATGCCATCCCATGTGAACTGCTTCTAATTGGAGAGGCCTCCTTCCCAGTGATGGTGAATGACATGGGCCAGGTCCTCATTGCTGCCTCCTCCTATGGCCGAGGCCGCCTGGTGGTGGTGTCCCATGAGGACTACTTGGTAGAAGCCCAGCTCGCTCCCTTTCTCCTCAATGCAGTAGGTTGGCTCTGTTCTTCCCCAGGGGCTCCCATTGGTGTACACCCATCCCTGGGACCCCTGGCCAAAATCCTTGAGGGTTCTGGGGTGGAGGCGAAGATTGAGCCAGAAGTGAAAGACTCCCTGGGGGTTTACTGCATTGATGCCTACAATGAAACCATGACGGAAAAGTTGGTCAAGTTTATGAAACGTGGAGGGGGTTTGCTTATTGGAGGCCAGGCCTGGGACTGGGCTAACCAGGGCGATGATGAAAGGGTGCTTTTCACGTTCCCTGGCAACCTCGTGACCAGTGTGGCCGGCGTGTACTTCACCGACAACAAAGGGGACACAAGTTTCTTCAAAGTCTCCAAGAAGATGCCCAAGATTCCAGTCTTAGTTAGGTGAGTGCATTACCCCAGTGGGGATTTGGTCCCATGTTAAAAAAGACACGGTTCTTGTCTTTCGGTTGCTCCCAGGCTAACAGAAGAGAACTTGGCACTTAGGCATAGATTCACCCTAAATCCAGCAGATTTACCCTCTATCAAACAGATCACCCTAAACCAATCAAGGTCCCCATTGCTACTGCCTCCCCAGACCAGACCACTTAGCTCTTTGAGCAGAGAAAACTTCTTAGTGACCATTATTTCCCTGGTGTCTAGCTAAATGTGAGGAAATGGAAAACAGACATGAGGGACCCCATAAGACAAAGTCTAAAGAGCTGTGGGAAAGGCTTTGAAATGTCCAGCCAGATGGGACTGGGATGGAAGTAAGAACTAGACGATTCAGAAGGTGATCTAGAAGAAAAGATAGCATGAGTTGTTTGTGCTAAATCTAGGAGTTAGGGGAGGATTTTATGTCTGCAGGCAAAACACCTGATGTTGAAGAACAAGGGAGGCAGGCGATGGGTGCAGAGACAGGCTACATGGAAGTTCTTTAAGAGCACTGCCCAGTCTGTTCTGTTCACACTGTGCTCCAGCATCTCATATAGTGCTGAGCGTAGAGCAGGTTAGTAGGTGCTCAGGAAACATTTGTTGGCTGGTGATTGGATGGGTGAATGGGGGAGATTAGAGGCTGGAGTAGTCCCAGGAGTATAAGAAGCGTACCAGGCCACACCCTGTTGTACATTAAAACTCGAAGCATCTTTGGAGTAGAGAGCACTGGGATTTCTGACTGGCAGGAGCAGAGTAAAGTAGGATTGGATGAGGAAGCCATACGACGGTTAGTACGGACACATAGGGCATGGGCCATGGCCTCTTCTTGGCATGGAACATTTGTAACAAAACCCCACATGTGCCATGAGGAAAGACACAGTCGTTCTGAGGCATAATGACTGACCAAATTGATCAAATTTTCAGCTTACCAATGATTTTCATCCTAAGGAATAGGGAGGTAAGACTTGACCATAATTCTGTTTCTAAACAACCTAATCCCCCTTACTTGCCTTCACAGATGTTTTTCTCTACCAAAACCGTACCTCTTTTTTCTTTGGCTTGCCTACTCATCTCTCATCATCAATGATTCTCAGCTTATGGGGTTGAGGGGGTTAGGCTGTACGTGTGTGTGTGTGTGTGTACTGATATATGTGTATGCGCACATGTAAAATCAACTTGAAGATTAATGCTTGAGAAACAAATCAGAGTTAATAAGGGAAGTATGCAGACTCTGTTGTGGAGATTGTGGGTTATCAGTATTGGTTATTTACTAGGTAAGACTGTGTCACAACGCTTGCTTTTGCAGGTAGGTATAGCATAGCTTTGCTCATATGTTAGGTGGGTCATTTTTTAACTTGTGGATGGATTGAAGATGACAGTAGGGATTTTCCTGAGCTGACTGGCTGACAGAAGTATGGAGGAGAAAGTAAAAGGCACAAGAGGGTGTGTGTGTGTGTGGGTATGAGAGAGAGAGAGAGAGAAAGAAAGATGTGAAATACTGATTAAATGCATGGGTTGAGATTAGTATGGGTTGAGATTTGGTAGAGAAAAACAAAAAACCCTCTCCTCCTCACCCCATAGTTTACTTAGTATTCACTCTCACAGGGGCGCCTGGGTGGCTCAGTCGGTTAAGTGCCTGCCTTTGGCTCAGGTCATGATCCCAGGGTCCGGGGATCCAGCCCTGCACCAGCTCCTTGCTCAGCGGGGAGCCTGCTTCTCCCTCTCCCTCTGCCCTTCCCCCTAGCTTGTGCTCTCTCTTTCTGTCTCTCTCAAATGAATAAATAAAATCTTAAAAAAAAAAATTCACTCTCACGTAGCCAATGCTGAAAGGTAGACATTAAGTGATCTTCTCCCACCTGATGTTGTGGTGTTGCCAAATGGTATATCAAAATCCATTAATTATAAACCTAAATCAAGTGAATTTTATTTTATGTGAATTAGGCCTTAATAAACCTTTAATATGTCTTTTTTTTTAAAGATTTTTTTTATTTATTTATTAGAGAGAGAGAGAGCATGAGAGGGGGGAAGGGCAGAAGGAGAAGCAGGGAGCCCGACGTGGGACTCGATCCCAGGACTCCAGGATCATGACCTGAGCCGAAGGCTGTCGCTTAACCAATTGAGCCACCCAGGCGCCCCTAATATGTCTTTTAATAGGACTTTAAAAAAGAATCAGATATAATCAGATTCATGTACAAGGATATGCAATTCAGCATTATTTGTAATAGGGAAGAGTAGTATGGCTAAATAAATTATAGATTTACCAACCATTAAAACTATGTTTCCAAGAATAATTAAGGGCATGGAGAAAATCTTTTAGGGGGTATTATTAAATGAAATAAAGTAGGATACTAACCTGTTTTTCATTATGTTCCCACTTTTGTTCAAAAAATATAGCTATGTGTAGAAAATATTATAGAAGGAAAAGGTCAAAATATCAGTAATGGGTAGAACTCTGGGTCATGGAATAATGGTAGATGATTTTTACTTTTTAACTTTTATTTTCCAAACTTTCTACCAAATTTTATTAATAAGGTATATATTTCATTACCTCACTTCACATGTAAGAACATTAAAAGACAAGAAAAATAATTCACAAGTCACATTAAAGACCTTCCACATCTGTCAATGCATAAATACTTTTATGACATAAACAGAAAACCAAATTTAACTCTCCAAATGATTCACTTACCTTTTTAACATCTCTGATACACATATAAATATTTCTATGTGTGTATGTATTGCCAATTGCCAGTACATTGGAATTATGAATCTTCTTCATGGGATACTCTTTTAAGCCACTTTTTCAATATTTTTCAATATCTCCTATATTTTTAAATGTTCACTTTAAAAAGTAATAGGTCATAAACCTACAACACAACTCTTTTCATCTTTGCATATTATTTTCCCCACTCATCCATAATTTTACATAGTTATCATCTTAGTATACATACTATTTTGAATTCCACTCACAAATATTTTTCATTCTATATAATCTTCAAAGTTATATTTGATTCACTTCATGAGAATACCTCATTTATTTAATCATTTGTCTGCTGTTGAGCATTTGGATCTTTCTCCACTCTTGTTGTGATTGGTAGTACTATACAGAATATCTGCAAAATGTTTTAGAAACATTAGACAATGCAAGACACCAGGATGCTTCTATTAGAATTCGAGAAGGAAGATTATTTCCATCACATGCTCAGCAAAGTTCAGATTGAAAACCCCTATGGATTTAGTTACTCAAAGGATTTATTTATTTTTAAGCCCTCATTTAAACATGGGAATGTGAATTAAGATAACTTTAATCTTATTACTTGCATATTTCTTACTAAATTCTAAGTAAGATCTTGGGATCCTCTCGCCCTTCTAAGAGTAAACTGTGGCAGGTCTTATCAAGATGAATCAAATTTTTATCAGAGGACATCTACTTTATGATCAGAAAAACAAATCCCTAAGCAATAAAACCAGATGATCTACTTTTAGCCTGGTGAGAATACCCACAGGTGTCAGGACATGAGCCTCCTAGTCACTGCCCTCCCTTCCTGCCTGGAAAGCATCATCATCTGCATTTAGAATGCTAGTCTCCGGGTGCCTGGGTGGCTCAGTCGTTAAGCGTCTGCCTTCGGCTCAGGTCATGATCCCAGGGTCCTGGGATCGAGCCCCACGTCGGGCTCCCTGCTCGGCGGGAAGCCTGCTTCTCCCTCTCCCACTCTCTCTGCTTGTGTTCCCTCTCTCGCTGTCTCTCTCTGTGTCAAATAAATAAATAAAATCTTAAAAAAAAAAAAAAGAATGCTATCTCCATGCCCTCTGTAAGACCAAGCCACCTGTAGTCTGTTCCCTGAGCAATTTCTCCTCTTATCATCTTCATCCTCAGTGTCTCTACTGTGCCTCTAGTTCTGAGGCCAGTGGTGGTGTACTTTACGTGCAGAAGGAGACTCACCTTCTATTAAGTATTTCATTTGACAAAACACTGTGTCCATTGTCATAAACTACTCACAGTCTCACTGCAGGACTCAGGATTCATATAACCTGGAAAAGGCCCAGATTTTAGAGAAGGAAGACTTCAGTAAGTTCCCAAGCTCTGTCTGGTGCACGCTCTATAACCTGGTGTCATAGTCACCCTCTCAAGCCTCATCTCTGAAGTGGGATTAATAATAGCTGCCTTTCAGGATGGTTGTGAGGATTCAGTGAATTAAGAAACACGCTCAAATACCTAAAACACTTTAATTATTTTCACATCCAGCCTCCACACTATGATATATGAGTATGATGTCATGAATATTATTCCCAACCAGTGAAACTGACCTAGCATCCATCATTATGGTGCCTTACTCCAGATCATGTACATTGTCCCAGTTGTATGAAGTATTGGCATTTTAACTCATGTTTTTACCTACTTCCTCCACCAAACTGAGACAGCATCATCATGATCAACTGCCACATTTTATAAATTTAACATTTATACATTTAATAAAACAGGTACTAGAGATTGAACTGGCTCCACCAATAAGAGATGTGATGCAGATAAAATGCATCATTAGATGATCAATCTTAAGGAGGTTTTAGGAGAATCAACCAGAATAGTTTGCGTAGTTCCTCTTTGGGATAGAAGTCCCTTGTCTCATTTTTATCCAAACCTCAGGCTTCTATTAAAGAGTTCCAACTCTGTTGTTCATTCATCCATTTATATAGCCAGCATTTATGGATTATATTCTATATCCCAGGCATTATTTCTTATGCCAAGAAAATGATTTCCAAAGACCTGAGAATTAAAAGCACATAAACATCTCCAGTAACAAGACCTGGAAGGAATTACAAAAACCGAACAACTGTTGTAGGAAGGGGCTGTGATATTGAGTTTCACTGGAACCCCGGGATCTTACTGCCAGTAAATGCAGCGTGACCTTGGCATATCCTTCTACCTCTTTTTCCCTCTGAATAGAAAGTGCTGGAGTAGAACATCCTTG